AGCAGAAGTGGGCAAGGGGCGGGGGGGCATGCTTTAGGTGGGAACTGCGTGCTCCTGGGGAAAGGGGGGTAGAGGGTTGATCCTATATTGGGGCCGAGGGAGAGTGGGTRACTCACCTCGGCGGAGGGAGTGTAGGGCTGAGGGGGGAGGGGCAGGGGGAGGGAGGGGCGATCTCTCTCGAATAAGTCTATCATGCAGTTTACTATTTCTTTTCATTTGGTTTGCATCTCGAGGAGGTTGTAGGAATAGGTGCTATCTGGCAAGTCATCTGTGATCCTGCGAAGGGTGGTTGAAAATCCGGTGGCCCTCGAAGACCGATGTTGGAGCAACGCTGGCCGGAGCCGGAGCCAGGTGGCGCAACTCTGTGACCTTGCTTAGTGGGGGCGTGAGGCCTGGTAGAGAGCTCTGGGGGGCTGTTTGCGGGGGCAGTCTCAGTGGTCATCGGGGGTCGTAACTGGAGCAATGCTGGCCGGTGCTGGAGCAAGGTGGTGCAACTCTGGAACCTAACCTGATGGGAGCATGAGGCCTGGAAGAGCTTCGGTTCGGGCTGAAAACAGCCATGCTGGTGGTGGTCGTAGGCGATTTGAATAGGTTTCACCTATCTGATTCATGGTTGGGAGGCTTTTTGACACACATATTCTAGTGACTTGATAGAGTCTGAATAGTGGAAAAAAGTCGGTTGTTCTTATGAATGTTTTAGGACTCTAGGGACTCTTCGCAACCCATCTTAGGCGGTTTCGATGCTGTTATACTCAATGATTTGCGGCTGTTCGATGCCAGAACGACGCTGGCCGGTGCTGGGGTGTTGCCCTGTAACCTGCCGATGCAGGAGCGTGAGGCCTGGTAGAGTGATCTGGGGATGTTTCGGGGTGGGCATCCCAAGGGACAACCAAGGGTTGCTGCTGGGACAATGCTGGTTGGAGCTGGGGCCAGTTGTGTTGCCCTGTAGCCCAGCAGGGTGGGGGCGTGAGGCCTGGAAGAGCTCAGCAGGGAGTAAGACTGTGTTGGGAAGTCTTAGAAGGGCTTGTTAGGGATCCTGAGGGTTGTGAGCATTCGTAGGACCTCTGTGGGAGCCTATTGCATGAGTAGTTCCTTAATAGGTCCTTAGATATTCATGACCCTCCCCATGCTTTCTGAATCGTATCGTGTTCACAGACTGTTCTCAGCCAAAGCCGGGTAATGGCCCCGGTATCTCAAATGATCTCAAATGTTCTCAATGATCTGTACAATTCGATATGGGACGCTGGGCCCGGTTCCCAGCACATGCTGCCCCCCACGAATAGACTGGAGCATTTGTTTTCCCAAAAAAAAAAAAAAAAAAAAAACTTATACCCAAACCATGATCTCTGAACCATACTTCTGGATTGTGGAGGAAAGGGGTCCGGGAAATCTGACAGAGGTCTCATAAGAACATTTGGATCCATTCTCCAAGCTTCAAGCAATAATCCCTGCACACTGCTTCAACCACCAGTACTTGGCCCTCTTGGCCATGGAAAAAAATAGAGTAGAAACATTTACAGTCGGATGAATTTGGGCGCTCATGTAGTGGCCTGTATGTTTCTTAAAATTGTGGCTCGTTAAGGGGCAGAAATTTAGGAAGTACTGGTGGTTTCGGAGTCCCCTCTCTTAGCCCCTTCCCACTTTACCTGTCCCATTTTGTCCCCTTGGGGTCCCCCAAGCCAGTGGCCACTGAAGTCTTTGATTTGCTTTAGGATTTCATTACTTAGTGTAAGTGTTGAATTTTCCTTTAGTTTGTTTCTGTTAGAATTTGTTGTTTGATTGTGTCTGTGAATTCAAGTCCATCTAGCCTTGCCCCTTCCATTTCATAGGTACATCTTCTTAGCCAGATAGCCCATAGTATTGCTCTTCTCCCAATCGTAAACAGATTATGAGTGAACTCATCACATGGTTCTGGATTCCATGATTCAAGGAAAATTGCCTTCCAGTCCCATGACCACTGGCATTGGGGCCCAAATGTCGCCAAATTCGGTCCCACCATCTCCACAGCCATATGCACCTGGGCATTGCAAGAATACATGTTCAATGGTTTCAGGAATAGTTCTTGATGGGAGGGCTGTCTTACAAAATTTACACCATGGGACTGCCAAACCCCTCTGTTCTAGTGTGGTTTGATCTATCAACCAATCATTAGTAGGAAGGCAACGGTGTTTAGTCTGCCATTTAAGCGAGGCCACCTTGGCTGGTTTGGATTTCATAATTTGAAACCATTTGATTGGTTCGAGGGTTTCCTTCCTCACATTTAGATGATTCATCCATCTGGTCACCATTCCGTCTTTTGAACTAGGGGAAACTGCTCTTGGGTCACCTTATTAGTTTGAAATAGGCAGAAATAGCATCATCAGGCAACCTCGACACCACGATAGTTAGGCAAGGGGAAAAAAAACATCACCCCACAGGTACATCACAGCCGTTGTTGTTGTTGTTGTTGTT